TCTTCCATTCATACTCTTTCTCGTTCTACTCCTTCTCCTTGCTCTCATTCTTCGGTTTGTTCTTCAATTTACTTCTTTTACTCGCTGTACTTTCTCCTCCTTCATCTCTTTTTTTTATTATTCTCATCATTCGCTTTCTCCTCCTTCTTCTCTCCTCCTCATCCTACTCCTTTCATTTCATCTTCTGACTTTCTTTTTCCCTACCCTTCTGCTTCTCATTCTGCTTCTAGTTCTTCTCTTCTATCTCCTCTTCATTCTCCTGCTCCTCCTCCTCCCCCTCGAAATGGCCAGTTTTGTTGCCAACCGCAAAGTGCACCTCGCGACCTTGTCACGGGACCTTTTTGAAGGTATTCGTCGATTGGCCTCATCGATGGCCGACCAAAGAGGACGGTCTTGAAGGTACGTGTCACTGTACCAAGTAAATGTGCGCCAATCGCAGCTCGAATCGCTTTTGATATCTCCTCTCCTTCCGAATCCCTTCCCACCAACCAAGCAACAAACGGCCTTCTTTGTCTCTTTCGCCCCCCGACGGCTGCCATGGCTCATGCCTTCCAGCCGTCGCGGACTCGAACTGACGCTCTGACCAATCGGCTGCCAGGATTTGCCGATTGTCTCAGACGGCGGCTCGATTCCCGTGGACAGCAACACCTCAAAGTAGCCGCAAACGCTTGCATCGAGACTCACTCAGGCCCGCCTCTTCCACAAACAGGTTTCACCTCGCCTGAGCTGGACTCATCAACGCCTCCGGTGGGACTCGAGCCCGACTTGTGACGCCAGACAGCGTACGCTCTCGACGTGTCAGTCATCACGCAAGACTGCAACGAATGCCGTTGAATGAGACAACTTATGATCTCGAAAGGCTACTTGTAAAAAAAAGAAAAACAACCATGGAAACAACAACAAAAATATATTTATAGGACAAAGTGAATTAGTCCTCCTTCTGGGCCGATCAACTCTTCTGTGGGACACGAACCCGGGACCCGACAAACGGGTGTTGCCTCGTCGTAGTACCGAGCCGAGACGATGCCAATTAAGAAAGACTCACAATTTCGTCGGCATGACAACTGACTGATTTGATTAGCCTTTATTGTGCCTCTCCGAGGCAAGAAATGGACTGCTCCGGTCGACGTGTCAACGGGCCAGACAAGTCGGTGGAATGCATTTCACTTTTGGGCTGCGTTGAAATTGTACACAATCTCGTTGTAGCACTGACCCTGTTACCAGTACAATCGGCGAGCATCTTTGCCTTGTTGCTAGGCTATCTACTGGTTGTTAATGCAGCTTTTATCTCTCTTTCTCTCTCTTTGGTCGATTTAGTCAAGCAGCCTATGACAGTCTGTTGGCGGGTCAAAGTCTCTCGTAAAAATTGGACTTTTCGGCAACACCATCTCAGCTCTTGGTACTGCCATGGCAACAATACCACCGCTGTAGCGAGAAGTAACAAGTTGGAAAATGTTTCAAAATCCCAATTAAATATCGGCTCGCCAAACGACAACGATGGTGTTGGTGTTGGTGGTGGTCATACTGACGCTTATGATAGAAATGATGATGAAGATGACGAATTTTGTGGCCGTGCTAATGATGGTGTTGTCAAGGCTGATGATGCTGCTGATGATGACGGCGGAGAAGATGCTAATGATTTCATTGGCGGTGCTAGTAATGGTGATGTTGATGAGTCTGAAAATGATAATGATGCTGTTGGTTATGATGATAATGAGGAGGATGGTGTAACCGATGATAAAGATAGTGATGATGATGATGACGATCCCCTAGAGGGAGATTCAAGTCCCGCTGGGAACTGGCATTTGAAGTGACATTTTGAGGGGTTCGCTT